AACGTGTTCGTGCTGAAATTTGCCAAAATAAGAAGCACTTTTTCTGAGCATACTGTCTACCTCTTGTGTAACGTTGCATCTCCCCATACTCTGGTGTGCCAAAAGATCTGGAAAATGTATAAACTTAGAAACGCTGATGTCGTCCTATGCTGTTCTTGTGAAACAGCTGGTAATAGAGCTATATTAGTTGATGCAGTAGTTGCAATAACTTTAATGCTTAATCAGTAGGAAAACCTTTCTAGTAGAGTTAAACTTTGACTACTAATATCCTAAGTAGTGAACTAAAAGTTAATTTTGACTTGCTACTATTCATATAGAAAGTGACTTCAGTGTTATCAAAGTATCCACAATGTGTGTCTGCCCTTGAGACATTTCAAGCGCAGATGGTGTGTGGAAGAGGTAGGTGTGTGGTTTCTCAGTTATGCCATATGGCTTTATTCAAGAAAAAACTTCAGGTCGCTTGACTTCTGCTCAAAAGGGCTAATGTCCTTTGTTTACTGTCCTTTTTCTGTGTAGGCTGATTTTGTGGCTTCAGATTAATAAACCAATGTCTCCTTCGGTTCCTAAATCGGATAGCTAGCAAGTTTTTTAAAAGAATATTAAAAATTGTTATGACTGTACCACTGCAGGTCTGTGTTACTCATGAATGCCCACACCTTTCCATATGGTGGACCAATTCCTTTCCAGTGGCTGGTGTACATCTAGTCAACGTTAATAACACGCCTATGTCTTCGCCCTTCAGGATGGACTGTTTGTTTTGCCTACCATCTTTCCCCCCCCTTTCTCCTACTGCTTTTGTTAGGTGGTGCGTAAACAGTAAATAAAGCAGCTAGCTGTGCCCAAAGGACTTTTTGTGAGTAGCCACACGTGCAGCTTGCATCCTTTTTCGTGGATGGGAATCCGTTTGCTTCCCTTCCAAAACTTAGTAAGAAGCAAGACGGACCCTTTGACATAGATGACGAGGGCAACTAAAATACATAATGCAGCTTGTTTCGTTTGGAGTTTTTGCATATTCTGTACACAGTTGCTGGTAAATTCCTGTCCTGATAGAGGACATCTGCACTCCAGCACACTTTCTAAAGGTATTGGGAAGTATTTCACAACAACCCCAGGCAACGCTGCAGGCGTGGGGAGGAATGGCTGGAGAGCTGTCTGGCGGAAAAGGACCTGGGGGTGTTGGCTGACAGCCACCTGAACATGAGCCAGCAGTATGCCCAGGTGGCCAAGAGGGCCAATGGCACCCTGGCTTGTATCAGGAATGGTGTGGTCAGCAGGAGCAGGGAGGTGATGGTGCCCCTGTACTGGGCACTGGTGAGGCCGCCCCTCAAATGCTGTGCTCAGCGCTGG